CTGATTTATTTATTGCTTTTATATTAGTCGTTTGAGAACTCCTGGTCATACAAATACTAGAGGTTTGAGAAGCTATACTTATTGTATTTTTAAGTGTGCGTACCCAGTGAACATGTCGCTTGTGTACTAGATTTTACCCCACTCAGTTTATATTTGAGCTCGTCATTTTCCCTACTGATATTCTTTATATCCACCTTTAATTGGTACACAAGGGTAGCGATTCGAGAGTTTTCCTCATTTAGCGAAGATTCCATCGACACGCTTTCATTTAGATTCTCATCCATTTGATTTTTTAATTTGTCGTTTTGATTACGCAAATGCTTTACTTCCATTTGCAGATCCAATATAATTTTTTTCAGTTGCAAAATCTCATCACTGTTATATGAAGGATCTTCACTCCAATTAGACATCTTAGTAGGTATTCCTTTCACTTATCGTAAATTGTTTAAAACATTATTTACAAATATATATTTCACTTTTATAATGGAAATAAGACGACCTTGTCCGTAAGATTACCGTTCATACACGCACATAATAGAAATGATTATCGTTAACTTTACACACATTTAAATTAAGCACCAAATACGTTGTCCAATTTACACGTAGAATTACAATAAAAAGAATTGTCATTTAGAAAAACACAAATTAAAATTTTCTCCTGCAGAGAAACAAATACACGTCCGTCTCGTACGAAATCATACAATTGTATGATTGCAAAATTCGCGATTACAAACACAACGTGACTGTAGTTTAAATTGGTAATAAATGCAGTGTTCATTCGGTATTTCAAAGCAACTGGGTAAACTACATCTGGTCTTTAAATTCATCGATCCCAGACGGACGTCAATCTACAATCATACAATATCATACCTACTGGAGAAGGAAGTTTATTCCCTTGAAGAATATTTTAATTCGTTGTAACGTCTTGTATGTTTTATCTGTAACAATGTAAACTTTGACATGTCCTATATATTACATTTATGTAATCTATTGGAAATAAATAAACATTTGAACTTTGAACTTTGAAAAATGCAAAAAATAACCCATTCTTCAAAAATGGCAAAAAAAATGCACCAAGTTGCTGTAATTTGATGCAATATCTCAGACTTTCAGGAAATAAGGTACAAAATCATCAAAACCTGAGCCCTACATCAATGTTATATTACACTAAATCGCTTTACCTACCACTACCTGAAACATACTGTATATAATATAATGTTAGAGGTAAGCAGTATTTTATAATTTATTTATTTATTATCCTTCTTTTGTTCTAATCTGAAAAAATTCACAGATTTTTCGTCGCAAACGTAAACTTTCTAAATAATAAGCGTCGTAACATGCGTTACTTGAAATGTAAAAATTAAGATGTTTGTTGGGAAGGTCTCCTTACATAAGTCAATTGGCTGGGAAAAAAGAACGGATCAAGAAAAAAACCAGGTACTATTAACATTGACTCTAGCATTCTGTACAGACAAGTAAACATTATTTTAAATAATTTATTGAATAATAATATTAACCATCAGATACAGTAGGCAAAAATACCTTCGAATAGTTACAACAATATTACATTTACATCAACAGATAGGGTAATCAACATAATACCTACGTATTCAAAATTCGGAACATGTAGTTGTAAGTTAGGAATCTTCAACTTGTTGAAACTATAGGACATTGTTTCACATTATTATTATAATACACATTTTGTAACAAAAATATAAACATTCCTATTGATCAGAACAATGTCAATTGCAAAAATACTGTAAAAATAGTTGTTAAGAGTACCTAACTTTTATATTTATAACACAGATTTTTATAAAAAACTGTACATACCAATAACATATCATGTTTATACTGACAAGAACAGTCTTATTATATTCAATACTAAATCATAATGGAATGAAATATTGACGAATTGTAATAATTACCAAAAATTTTGTTTTAAAGCAATAACAAAGTTAAATATGGTAGATTTATGGAAGAAGAATTTTTGTCAGGTACATCATCATTCTCACTAAATACGCACGCCCTTTTGACCACTTGGTGGACTCTATGGTAGGCATTACTATTATTCTTAAAATGTATTAGATACATTTTACAATATATTAAAGAATAGTCGACAGTGGCTCTGATTTTTAGAAAGGGCGACTTTTGGCACTAAAATATTAATGTAGGTAGTTACACGCCGCATCGCCACATTAAGAAATGATATGGGTAAAACTGTCTTCTTAGGCCACGGAGGAACTTTTAGTACAAGTATATATCATTAAAGTACGAGTACCTATCTACTAGCTCTTTTTAACTGCAATATCGATGTTCTCATAATGTCGCTATATATAAATCTACCACATTTAAACTATACGCAATAAAATCGAAACATCTAAGGAATCGGGATTTCCCTGCAATAATCTATAAATCCTACCTATATGCGGTACCGCTACTGATTTTCTACGATTATTATTTATATGATGTTATAAACCGCAATACTTCATGCTATATTGTCACTACACTATACTTGTAGAAATAATTAACACATTTTATGATTCAACTACTTTGTTAACTAGTGCAATATACCTATCTATAACAAGTAATCCTATAGTAAAAGTCAGGTTGAGTATACAGCCTATAAAACATTAGGCAACATAATATTATATGCATTGGAGAGATTATTAACGATTATTTACCATTGTGGGCATGGCTCCGTTTTCTGTAAATACCTACTTGTAGCACCCTGTAGTTTTAAACGGATAAAAATATATGACTACACATAATCGTGCTGTAGAGGTACTCAACATGAATTTTACTGTAGATCATCTACAACTATGTACCTACTAGTAATGGAAAAACGAGGTTCGTTACTAACAAACACATAAAAATCCTGCTAGTTTACTGTACTTTTTGGACGTTAGAAAACAGAATCGCCGCAACTACTCTAATAATTTCAGCCAGTCTTATCAGTGTATGTATCGCATCATCACGTGTTGCACTGTACAAATCATCGTACCAGTTTTGTTAGAAAACATAACATATAACATAAGCCCTTCCCTTTGCGCATGTACTATATATTTATCGAAGAACTGTCCAAACAATCAAAGCCAGTTGCGCTCCGAATTAAAAATTTCCATGATTGTCTTGGAATTGGAACAAACATTTAGTCATGGCCCTTTAGAAATGCACTCGGGACGTGTATTATTAGGGAAGTAAATTGGTCAAATTCATTAAGACATCAACCTAAAATAGCATACTATTTATACTACGCATCATCTGCAATCCTGTAAATTAATTGAAATTGAAATGATGAATAGCCAAATAGAAATTTAGTGGCGGAACTCAAGAGTCAGCTTTTGCTTGGTGCGGTTCTTTTCGATTGAGTTGTTCAGATTGTGTTAGAGTAACTTTGAATTGGCCTCCAACAGTTAAGAGTAAAACTACGACTGAATTATGAATTTGGATTTGTTACTCGGAATATACCGGGTGAATATTTTAAAACCGAACATAGGCAATTAACATGGGAAAAACGCTTTTTGCAGATCGTTGCTCCCCATATTAACTTCGTTGGTTACACCAAACGAAAGATGTTTTATTTCTCATCTTGTGATATGCGAATTAGTTAATTTTCAGGTGCATTTCTCATTATTTTATCAAAAATTCGGCAATAAATCCAATTAACGAAATCATGCTAACCTTTGGAAAACTAATATCGCGTACTAGAGTAACTATTTCCACTCTAAATGTTTATTACAAATACTTTTCCTCAGTGAACTTGCATTTTACAAAAAAATTAATGGCAGTTGTCATAAACTGATATTCATTTCGACTTGGATAACGTTTGAATATGCTTTTTTTCTATTTCGATGTTGAAACAATACCGAAACCGTACTTGATTGGCCCAGTTTGCGTGCGTTTCTAGACAGAAATGATGCCGAAAGAAATAGAAACGCATTATTTTTTTTATTTTGTTGGATTGGTACCCCTCGCTTTTTTGCTGTCAACGGTATCCGTCAAATCAAAACTAAACATAACCTGTAAAGTGTAAATAACGTACGAGGAACTTGACCGATTGTATTAATTCCGATTAATTTTGAATATATACTCAAAGGGTAGAACTTTTTTTATTTTTACTTAGCGTAGTAAAATATGCCAGCAGTACATCCTTGCTTACTTTTTGAACTCCCCTTCTCGGCCAGCCAGTTTTCAAAAATTTTGTACTCCTCGTACTTTACTTTCGATTTTACAGGCAGTAAATTTAACGTCGCTTCATTGGCAATCTCTTGGATCTCTGGTGGGGTACAAGAGACGTGTTTGTCATCCGTATTCATCATAACTGCCGCAAAATTGAATTATGACCAAATACCTAATTAAAAGTTTGAAGTTTGAAAATACAGGAATCAGGTTAGCCAACGTGAAAATAAATGAATTGTGTCTATTACCAACATACACTGAATGATAGTTTAAAATTATCTAACAACGCCTAAAGGCAATATTTATAATTTGTATAATTTATTATTTAAAATAAAAGTCGAAATAGAAAAAATAGTATAAAGCACACGTGTCATTTGCACATGGGGAGCAACGATCTGCAAAAAACCTTTTTCCCATGTTAATTCCCTATGTTCGGTTTAGGATATTCACCCAGTGTATAGAATAGAGTACATTTTTATTGGGAAACAATTTTAAACCTCTTTCACCCCCATTCCCTCTGCTTCCGCGGTAGGTCTGACGATGTTACTGCGTGGGGTGTAATTATTTGCTAGGCTATTGGGTATAATCCAATAAACAAAGTCATATTTTTGTGAACAGGGACGATTAAAAATAGCGCTTTGGTAAAAAATATTTACAGGATCCACTCACACTCCTTTCTTTAATCTTAAAAAAGGTAAAAAAATTTGTTGGAAATCCGTACCTTACTGTAATAGTTATGTTTTGTTTAAGATATGAATTTATTTTTTTTTGTTATTGTTTAGTTATATTAAGATTTTGAGTTTTTCTTGTGTTTCTTCTTCTTTTTTCTAATAAAGTACACTAAATAATTGCGCGTTATCTGTTAATTATGTATTGTCCTGTAATTGGAATATGCCGTTCTGTTGGGCAATAAATCTCTATTATTAGGAATCCAGATGGAACAATCCATTCTTCGTGTTTTCATCCCCTTTTCAAGGAATGAATATTGGTTTTGTTATTGCGAAAAAAACATATTTATTCCTGACAATGTTGGCACAGTAATTAAATTTTTTGTAGATTTTCTTTCTAAAATCTTGATATTCTGAATTGCTTTTGGGAATTCAAAGGAGCAACTCGGATTCTAAGTTTCATCTCAAAGTTATAAAAATAATAAACTTTATGGCCCTCATAGGCTTCCGTATAAAGCTAATGTTCCCTTGTTGAAAATTCGGAATGAAATAAGTTTCTTCACAGCCGATTCCAAAAATGTCCGCCATCCTTAAGTCTAGCGTTTGTGAGACTAAATGGTTGTTTAGTTTATGTTCCCGCCATTGTTGCGTTTTCTGAAACTGTAAAGCCATCATATGTAGGTAGTTTTTGTTTAAAAACTAAACAAAATGGGTTTCCCATTTGTAATTGATCGTAAACTTGACCATGGAATGGATTGACAAGGTTTAAAAAAATCCAATATACGGTTTTGCTAAAAGCTACATTCAATTGTGTGTAAAAAAGGTAAGCTATAAATAATGTTTACTTGATGTGATGTTTCTTTTCTATGGTGCCTACAAGGGTGTCATTTCACAATGGAAAGTAATCTAGTCCAAATTACAAAAAGCTCGGTTACATGGCAAGCTATCTATCCCAACTCATAGTGCATAGAAAAATAGTTCCGCCACCGCCTAAGAACAGAGTAGTTATACCTTTAGGTCAACTCGAGATTCAGTGATCAGTCCTGAAAACACTTGGGAGATTAATGCCTGGAGTGCCAAATTTAGGACCTCTTTTATATCAAAAAAGTTGGTATAAAATTGGAAAAACTTACATGCGTATACTATTCGAGCTTCTATATACCCTCCGAAGAGAGGCGGACTGACTTTCCAAATTACGTTTTAAATTCGCCAAAGTATTGAGCAGTACTTGTTGCCGTAAATTTTCGGAACTGCTGTGGTTGTTTCCTTTTGTGCCGTTAGGTGGAAATCGTGAAGGAGAAGTAGTGGTTTTCGTCGCGTTGTCGTTTGTACTACAACCGATTATTTTACATGGGTCACTATAGGCTTTCCTTTTTAACGGCTCACTGTGTGGACAACAATGCCTTGCATTTCGGCCACCTTCCGAATCAGAACTACTGCTACTGTTTTGGTTGTATGGGCGCGGTGTTGTAGTTTTGTTTGATCTTTTTCTATACTTTGTGTGTTTTCGAAGTGTCATTTCCACGTGGTGGAGGGGAATTTCATCAGTTGAGCTCATGGTGGATTTCGAAGGAATCCATCGATTCGGTAAAGACGATTCGCACATGTCTTTCTTCATTAACACAGGCGAATTATGACTTATGAAATTAGTGACGTGAGTTTTTACAGGACTAAATCTAGAAGAATTAAAATTATTGGACGGAATTCGTGATACATGCATATTTGCGGTGTCATCGATCAGTCTACTTTTTATGAAAGCGTCCGACTTGGAAGATTCGGCATTTCGAAGTAACTCGACTCGTTTATTGGGAGGTACCGGCATTCTTCTTGGTGACAAAATGTTCGACTTCATGGTGGTGAGTAAGCGGTCGGCTTCATTTATTAGCTCTCTGTACTTCTTATCGGCTTCTTTGTCCTTTTGGTTTATCATATGGACCGAGTTTGTGTTGAAGGTTACCGAATTGCTTCTTCTGCGTAGATTGTCATCGGCAATCAGCTTTGATACTGGTTGGCTTATACGTCTTGCCGAAAGAGGAGTCGTCCCGGCGCTTCGTGACCCGGTATGCTGTGGGGGATGATTGAAAACGCATTCCATTACGTTAATTTTTTTCTTGGACGAACTTGAACGTCTTCGCCTTTCATTTGTTTGTTTAGACACGGACACCTGGTAATGCATTTCTTGTTTTTGCGATCTTCGCGAAATTCGCCTCCGAGAGTTCTTCTTTTGAATGTCGTAATTATGGTAAGTGCAATGACCCGTGTTCCTCGAGTTTTTGATATCCATATTGAATTCCAAATATGACCCGTTGTCTATGAAGTCCAACTCGCGTTGTATTAAGTCCGAATCGCCATTACTTCCTTGTCCTGTGTCTATGTCAGTTTCACAATCTGTAGCGTCACTATCGCTTAAAATATCAGTCTCTTTCTCGTAAACGTAGCTTTCGTCGTACTTTCCCATCATCTCATTGAGTGTACAGTCCTCATCCTCGTCGCTTGCGATCTTTGAATTATTCCTGGCCAAACTAAGGTCCCAGTTAACACTGCCAGTTGTGCTGAGAGAGGAACATGAGGATGATGATAAAGACTGTCTACTTCTTGACGCTCTCTCTATCGAGGCCTGTGTTTTTGATATGCAATACCGAGGAGACGTCCTAAAGATGGGACTTCAATTGAAGTGTAGGTGCTGTGCAGTCGATACTTACGAGCTTTTCAGAACGGGTGATTTGGTGCAGTCCTGTCGATGAGTCAGCCCGATACAACTACTTCCTGGACTTAAATTATTAGCCGGCACCCATGGATTAGTTCGAATACGATTCCGTTGCCTTGGAGATAAAATACCGGAATTTGTGACAGTTTCTTTATATTTGCCAGTAATTCCGTTTGGTAGCAGTTGATTGCTCTCTTTGTAATTACCGTAATCGCACATCTATAACAGAAATACGACAATTTTTCCTTTGGTTTCTAAAGGCTTACCTGAGGATATTCCGAGTTTACAAAGGTCACCGCCGTCGAAGATCCCAGTTCCTCGCCGGAAGCGAGCAACCGATTATTCTTGTTCGAAATTTTCTCGACTCTATTATGCTTTTCTTCTAACTTTATAGTTAAGCGATTACTTATAGGCGAACCAAAATTTTTCTTCTCTATTGTGGTTGAAGGTGTACTGCACCGAATACCTAAAATACCGTTTTATATAGTCAAATTGTTATTAAAAAGGAAAAATATGGGAAAATTTTGATATTTGCTTCCTGTAGACCTATAGGCAGATGTACATGTTTGCGAATTTTTCCAAAAAAGATGTTCTAAAAAAAGGGTCCACAGGTCACATAATAAAATGCAGTGGCCTGTAAGATTTATTCAATATACCATCTACGCATTAAATTACATAGAAATAATTATGACTGGACCTGCATTCTATAGAGCTGTAAGAGCTCATTGTAGAGCCTAGTTAAATGACCGTTCAATAGATCATAGATATCGGGTTTTTCGTACATAGAGTAATATGGTCCATTAATCAAACATTTTGTTCTATTTGTGACAAGTACGTAGAATACGTCCAATCTAATACCTAGCAATCAAACTCAGTAATTGTTTGTGACGGGTACGGTGCAGGCGGTGATATGATACAATGATGACAACGATATCCTTGCTAACATGAGAATTAAAGAGAAGTCGACATGGCTTGTGTTGAAGAAGAGTTAGAAATTAATTTAAAACGTGCGTTATCACTTCTTATTAATTGGTTTAATGCAAATAAACTTTTACTCAATTTGGAAAAAACAAAAATTCTTCTTTATAAGAAAAATATGGGTTTGGATATCGCTCCGCTGCGTTACCAGTCAGTTCAATTAGAAAGGTGTCAATCCTGTACCTTCTTAGGAGTTATTATAGACACAGAACTTAGTTGGAAAGATCACATTGACCATCTGAGAGCAAAATTACATTCATCGATTTTCGCATTGTCCCGTTGTAAAAATTTATGTGACCATAAAACCCTTTTGCAAATCTACTATTCAATATTTGAAAGTAAGGTGCGGTACGGTATCTCATTATGGGGAAATGCTACTAGTCATAGAATTGCTAGCATATTTAAGGTTCAAAAAAGAGCAATCAGGGTAATGTTTTCGCTACAGAAACGGGAATCCTGCAAACCGTATTTTAAAAACTTTCAGATTGCAACCGTCTATTCATTATATGTGCTTGAATGTTTATGTTTCGTGTTCAAAAACAAAAAATTATTTTCATTAAATTGTGATAACCACTCATATAATACTAGAACGAAAAATAACTTTTCTATAATGAGATCAAAAAGTAAGGTGCATAACTCGTCCTACCTACAGATGGGGGTGAGATTTTATAATGCCCTTCCGGCACATGTCAAATGTATTACAATGTTGGCTCCTTTTAAAAACCAAATTAGAAAAATTCTTCAATCAATGGTGCTATACACACTGGATGATTTCTTTACGAATATCAAAAAATGCTAATCATATTTTAAAAAAAAAAATAAATAAATAAATAAATTTTAATATATACACCTATTTACATTTCTTTTTTATAGATATATTTATATTATTTATTGTACTTTATTGTGTTTTTAATTTATGTTGTTATTATTGTGTGACAGTTACACCACATTCGTGGTTGAAATAAATGCTCTCTCTATCAATGCTCATTGCGAGGTTGCGAGGTTTACTTTCAAAGGATGAAAGATGTTGATACCCTAATAGTGGACACAACTTTTGCAACTGGCTCCAACCAATGAGACGGTTGGTAGGTCTGCAAACACGCAAATGTTTTATATTTAAGGTCTGCGAAGAAGAAAGTTTTTACAAGGTATTTTCTTATCTTGATGACCATCATTAGGGTATTTACAGATTCCAATGCTATTTTGAGTAGAATTAGAATCTACTCAGGACTGTATAGATGGTAGCAAACGTTTTCTGGATACACCATAGAGATTCAGTGGTAAAACTGTGTCTTTGCTCAATCATTTGAGATGTTTCTTACAACCAATCTGCTTTAAAGCTCAAGCTCCAGTGCGAAAACGCCACCAGAATAGGCATGGAAAATATTCAAGACTGCTGTTGCACCTGGACATACACAAAAAACATTTCAAAACTGCACGAAAACTTTCTCCTATTTTCTACTTTCTACCCGATACCATTGAATAATCAGATTTATTATTCAATGCTGACACTAATTCATTTTAATATACTAACGTAAAAACTAAATGTACTTCGTGGATTAAGTCCACTCTTTAAGAACTTTATTAAAATTGCTGATAACCAGAGGTTGAGAGGGCATAACTATAAGCTTATCAAAGAAAATTATAAAGCAACAATTCGGCAGCACTTCTTAACAAACAGAGTTTTTAACTTATGGAACTCACTTCCCAACCGAGTCGTAGTAGCACAAAGTGTCAATCAATTTAAGAAATTACTTGATTCCAATTAAATACGATGATTTTATAATATAGCAAAATTTGCATAAAAGGAACCTAATTCCTCTGCAAATTGTCTAGATTTAATAATCATAATATTTGGCACCAGGGAAATTTGAAACTTGCCAGTTGTAGGATTTGATTTGCCAATTCGGGTTATAGCAGTTTGAACTGTTTTCGAAACCAGAACCGAATTAAGCAAACATTGGGTCCTATGCTACATGCTAATGCGGTTAAACTATCAACGGGTAGTTGTAGTCACTAACCGCCGACTACAACATTTTTGATGACCCCCGACGTGATTTGTGATAAAAGTTGTTTGATAATTCGAAAACGTATGGACCGTCAGGCGGCAAACAAGTTGTTTGATGAGATAAATGCTGAAAGCCAAAATACGACTCCTGATTTAGATCAGATGCGTGCGTGTGAATGTATTTATGCTGGAAGATATTAATCGTGAACTGCAAATATTGGACGATAAGATACCAAATGCTTGACCACAACTTGGACGATCACCAACAAAATGAAGAAAAGTGTTTCAAACAGCAAGGAGTGGGTTCAAATAAAGTTCTGATAGAGGGGAATTGCAAATACATAACTGAAAATGAGTAGGTACTTGTCAGTATTCGGTAATCAAAGTAAGTTTATTGGAGAAGACTAAGAGTGGTTACTGTTTTGGAGTCAGTTTACAAAGATAGACGAAGACATTACCATACATGACAGTGACAAGTTTCAATGTTTGGTACAATTGATGATAGATGGGTATATACTATACTATACTATACGATGGGTTCCGAGCTTATGAATTAGTATGTAGCTATCCGCAGACTGCAGAGAACTATCCCAAATCCATAAAAGCGTTAAAAGATAGGTTTGGGAGAGACGACAAGCAGATATTATCTTGGTAGATATCAAGTTTCTTTTCCTTGTTCCAGGTATTTAGGCAATGGCTAAACCTGGGTGTGGTTTGGTGAACGAGTAACAATGGCAAAAGCAAAATTTTGCCTTCTAATGTGGAAAAGTGACTTTGATGATTTGTTGAAACAGCTATCAGTTACGTGTTGGGAATGAAGTGGAATGGTTAACCATCCATGATTTATACAGATAATAGAACCAACTTCGTTGTAGCTAATCGGCTTCTTGCTGAACTTGAGTGGAGTAGGATTGAAAAGGAAACATCTGTTAAAAGAATGAAGTGAATCCTCCTTCTTTTCGTTGGTACGGTAGTTAGTTTGAGCGTTTAGTAAGCGCCATTTATAAAGGGCGATTAGGAGAAGGTTGCCACAATTTGTTGATAAACAGACACTTCTTTGGTTTTTATAACCAGGATAGGAGTCATATAAGGATGGGTGCTTAGCCCTATCCACAACCAGCGATCGCGATTATACTGGTCTCGAAGCAGACTGTGACTATCTCCGAAGACAGTCTCCGTCGCCAATCGCGGCCGCTTGAAGGAAAACGGTTATTGTTTTCTTATAAAAGCAGAGGTAGCCGAGATAGATAGGTACATTTTTAAGAGCTTTGTCGGAGTCTTTCTAAATATTCGGGATGCCGTGCAAGTTTATGTATCGTGGAGGAAATTGATTTATTTGGAAAAAATGCTTTGGTATTCGTATTCGTAGTTACATAGTATCCCACATACACGTAAAAATCATTCAAGAGCCAAAAGGCATAAACTTGTCTGTTCTTCTAAAATGAAAATTTTAATTAGGTATCACAATTTGGAAATGAAAAAAACACCGAAAGCATCCAAAACCGCGGACTAGTGTTTCTTGTTAATACAGTGTCGTTAAATATACTCACCTGATGTTATTTTGTCTGCAAATACGATTCTTTTATATTCTCTAATCAATCGATGCTCCTGCTTTATATAACAATACAATTTATTCGAGCCCGATAAACTCGCGGCAAAACTTCCATTAATTAAGCGTGTCTAACTAAATTGCTAACCGCCGTCGATAAACGTAAGTATACAGACGACGGTTAAAAGCCTCTAGAGTGGAGGACGTTCTCAAGCAAGAGTGCTTTTAGCATAAGTATAGGCAGAAATATGTATTTGACGCCAGATACTTTTGAGTGGAGCTACCTTTATAAGTTAATTGAACAATATTTCTCTCTTTAGATGTATTTATAAATCTCAGGATGCAATTTGTTTCATTTTCCATATCTCACGTGCCACCCTCAAACCGCAAATGTGATCTTAATTTAATAAAAAAAAAGAGTTCAAAGCAACCGCTCCGATTGAGTTACTCGCGTAGTGTCTTTTTACGCCTTTCATGAAAAACACATCGCCAAAACTTGTTTTCGGAAAACCCTTGCTGAACTGACAGTAAATAATGTGCGCCTAGAGTTATAAAATATTATTCGCTATTCTCAGTTGGTTCATTTTGTAGTAAGAAGCTGTCCACGAATTGCATTTCACCGGAGAGCGCTCACTTTTCGGAACTCTTAGATTTAGTTATTTAATAATTAGCCAGGCTAGACCTGAGTTCTGACAAGAAGAAATGCCGTCCATAGTAATATTCCAGTCACCACTTGAAAAAGCCATAGCTGCAAGTGGGACGGGTCATAAGCAGATACACAGAAATGAAAACATTAAATTCAACATAAAATAGCACATTAAATTCGATCAGTCCGTACTCGTCGCCTGTTAAAATATTCATCCAACGTGTATGGATTGATGGATATTATTAATCTTTTATTTTATTTATTTATATGAACCCAGTAAGTTTGAGGCAGGAATTCCAAACTGCAATTGAAGATCAATAGCGGATAGACCCACCGGGACTTTGCCGGTGCTCTTTCGTTGTATATGATAAGGTATATGAACGATGTTTATCTACAAAATGCATATTTCGAATATGGTAACCATGCACAAAGTCGGTAGCCGCAATAAAATTGGAATTCTTGCACTTTCAAAAATACGGACAAGAATCTTGCAAAGCCTAACAAGGAGTACGCTCTTATTCTCTCATTCAACTTCAACCCTTAAAAATATTAAATAAAATTCTACTGAGTAAGGCGTAATATTTCTCCTGCTAGTCACAAGCATTCCACAAGTTATCCCTTTGAACATGTAACTTTCTACTTTACTTTCAAACATTCCGGAAGCTACAAACTTGACCTTTGTAAGTGGGGAAGGCAAGCGGTTACTTGTCCTATTACGATACGATTAAAGATTTCATTTATCTACTTGAAGATAGTTGTCCCGCTTCCATGGTTTGGTTATATATGAAACAAAAAGCAGGATGGCTGTAAACAGACGGATTGGTTTGATATCGGAAAAGGAGTTATATAGGGATGCTGTTATCACCAACTCTGTTTAAGTTATATGAAGAAGACATGTTGAAAAAGGGGAAAGAGAAGAGTAGAGGATAGGTAGTCGTGGAGAAGGGCCATCAGGGAGCTGCATTAGCAGAAAACTAATGCTGATGAAATGCTTAATAAAATTTCACTAGTTTACGTAAGTGAAAAATAAATAAAGACAAAGATACCATTCCTTGGATTTCTTTGAAAA